ACGCCCAAAAAGCCTTTTCAATGAAAATTAATTCCAGCGAAAATAAAGTATTCCACAGTACATGTATTTTTTTTACTGACTTACAGGTTACTATTAAATCTCAGAGACGCAGTACTTTGAAAAATTATTTATTGTCATTTATCATTTTAATCATTCCATTAGCTTTCAAAATACGATTTCCTAAACTAACAATTAAATAATAGGGTTATGTAGTCTAGTGAAATATATACATGTATTTTTTTTACTGACTCACAGGTTACTATTAAATCTCAGAGACACAGTACTTCGAAAAATTATATTTAACCAGTACTCTAATGTTCATTTTTTTTCAAGCAAAACTTATTCTCAATGTATTTTTACAGTCACATATTAGGTACTGTAAAATACTTTATTTTCGCTTGGAATTTATTAATTTTCGCTATTTTCGCTGAAGGAGTCAAAATACCTTTTTCCCTATATTTTACATTTCACTCACCAAAAATCAGTGAAAATAAATTCCATACAAAACACACAAAAAGTCTTTTCAATTCCAACTAAAATATTAAATAAAGTATTTTTATTACAGTATACAAATTTAGAACCCCTAGCACAAATACATGTATATATATGTGCGTACATACATGAATGAAATTAAAATATACAAATTATCTATTTATCATGTATTGTTATTCTGTGTTAATCTTTCTCCATTTGGAATGTTGTGTTTTTATTGTTAAAAGATTCAAACATTAATGTGCATTAAAGATATATGGGTCAATTTGATAGTAAATCACAAAAAAAGATGTGTACTGCCAAATGGCGTGTATAATGCAACAGATTGGCTGACTTTGTATTGTATAGTATTGCGGTATTCTTATTTGTTACAAAGGTAACAGCTTTGATGATTTTTACCACATCTTTGTCTGTGTGTCTGATCTATTTAGACAGTGGACCAATCAAATTGGGCGTACTAAGTATTATGCAGCTGCATTAATTAATCATCAAATTGACTGTGTCATACAAAACATTTGGCTGACCACAATGACATGTCGGATAGTTCAATAGGTCAGTGTATGTGATCGGGACGAATAATTTTTTTTTTAAATGTATATAACCTGATTTTAATATTTTAAATGAAGGTACGTTGTCACAAGACAATTTAAATTTTGCTAAATTGACAAATCATTTTGATTTATTAGAAACACATATATAATATTTACTGTCGAATACTTTATTTAAGCTGGAATTTATTTTCGCTGAAAAGGCTTTTTGGGTGTTAGTTTTGTTTGGAATTTATTTTCACTGATTTTTGATGAGTTGAATGTGAAGTATAGGAAAAAAAGTATATTCGCTGGATTTTAGTTTCACTGAAGCATCCATTCAGCAAAAATAGCGAAAATAAATTTCAAGCGAAAATAAAAGTATTCTACAGTATTTTATAAAACTCGAGAAAATTTAAACAAATTCTGGTAATTTTTTTTTCAAAAATTGCAAGCAAAGATTTAAAAATTTGTATTTTTAGTGTCATCAAAATTATGTTTTTATTTTAATTTTTTCATAATACAATGCTGGTCAATCAATAGACCAATCAGATTAGACATACCTACATACCAATGGACCAATCAGAGTAGACATACCTACAAACCGATGTACCAATCAGATTAGACATACCTATATACCTATGGACCAATCAGATAAGACATAACTACAGACCGATGGACCAATCAGATTAGACATACCTACAGACCGATGGACCAATCAAATTAGACATACCTACAGACCGATGGACCAATCAGATTAAATTCCTGAAATAGATCAATGCAACAACACAATAGCTCGTCAACACGCTTTATATCATTGAATTTATAAAATTATTTTTTTACTGTATTTTCTTCCCAGTATGGATTGTACTCTGCCTTCATGGGATGTTTTGTCTACTGTTTACTGGGGACTTCAAAGGACATCACTCTGGGTCCTACCGCTATAATGTCACTAATGGTTGGTCAATTTGGAGGCGAAGAGGACCCAACTACTGGTTTCATTAATCCAATCTATGCAGTCATTTTGACTTTTATATGCGGATGTATACAGCTAGCAATGGGAATTCTCCAACTTGGTAAGTACTCTGGTGAGATTATTTGAGCAAAGGTGTGTGAGGAAGGTTCATCAGATTCTCAAAGCATTGAAATGTGGGAGTTAGAGATTCTCGAAAAGAACAATCAGAATGAACATTCTATTATAGACATGTGGGTGATTTGCAATCTCTCACACCGAGTTCTGTTTTTATGAATATATCTCTGCCACCATTCAATCTTATACTTGTCGTTGAAATGTCGATGCATCACAGTCGGACTATTTCCAAAGATGCCAACACAACATTGTCATGCAGGTGTTCGATTTTCTAATCCAAGGAAAGCATTACACAGGACCTCTTAATTATGGTAACTCTTTTAGCACTAAAGTCGCTACTCACATAATAAAATGCAACATTTTATCCAAAATGTTGATGCATTTTTTCTCAAATCATCAAAACAACAATAGAAAAGTTCATGAAAATAAGAGAAATGTTGGTTGATACTCCCGCTGTACTGTCTTCATACATACTTTGAGGTATCCTCATAATAACCTCATATTCCACTTGATAATATACTATCAGTGTTTCTTCATCTCTCTTCAGGATTTCTTGTCAATTTTATATCGTACCCAGTCATCAATGGATTCACTACATCTGCTGCTGTTACCATAGGAACAGGTCAAATTAAGCATGTACTTGGTATCAAGTATCATGCAAATGATTTTCTTGGTGACGTAGAAGGAATAATTAAAAACATCAAAGATACAAAGTAAGATATGCTCAGAATAATTAAAAAATCAAATTTCCCATATTGTCATGTTTATATTTACGAGTAGTATCTCCATGTATACTTCATATTTCTCATACCATATTTGGAGTTGTCTCCATATTTGACTTTAGTTTACCCATACTTAATATTGCTCATTCCATATTTGGAGTTGTCTCTAAATTTGCCTATAGTTTCCCATACATAATATTTCTCATACATGTACCATATTTGAAGTTGTCTCCATATTTGGCTATAATTTACCCATACTTAATATTGCTCATTCCATATTTGGAGTTGTCTCCATATTTGGCCATGGTTTCCCATACATGATATTTCTCATACCATATTTGGAGTTGTCTCCATATTTGGCTATGGTTTCCCATACATGATATTTCTCATACCATATTTGGAGTTGTCTCCATATTTGGCTATAATTTACCCATACTTAATATTGCTCATTCCATATTTGGAGTTGTCTCCATATTTGGCCATGGTTTCCCATACATGATATTTCTCATACCATATTTGGAGTTGTCTCTATATTTGGCTATGGTTTCCCATACATGATATTTCTCATACCATATTTGGAGTTGTCTCCATATTTGGCTATGGTTTCCTATACGCGATATTTCTCGTACCATATTTGGAGTTGTCTCTATATTTGCCTATAGTTCCCATACATGATATTTCTCATACATGTACCATATTTGGAGTTGTCTCCATATTTGGCTATAATTTACCCATACTTAATATTGCTCATTCCATATTTGGAGTTGTCTCTATATTTGCCTATAGTTTCCCATACATGATATTTCTCATACATGTACCATATTTGGAGTTGTCTCCATATTTGGCTATAATTTACCCATACTTAATATTGCTCATTCCATATTTGGAGTTGTCTCCATATTTGGCTATGGTTTCCCATACATATTATTTCTCATACCATATTTGGAGTTGTCTCCATATTTGGCTATGGTTTCCCATACATGATATTTCTCATACCATATTTGGAGTTGTCTCCATATTTGGCTATAATTTACCCATACTTAATATTGCTCATTCCATATTTGGAGTTGTCTCCATATTTGGCCATGGTTTCCCATACATGATATTTCTCATACCATATTTGGAGTTTTCTCCATATTTGGCTATGGTTTCCCATACATGATATTTCTCATACCATATTTGGAGTTGTCTCCATATTTGGCTATGGTTTCCTATACATGATATTTCTCGTACCATATTTGGAGTTGTCTCCATATTTGGCTATGGTTTCCCATACATGATATTTCTCATACCATATTTGAAGTTGTCTCCATATTTGGCTATGGTTTCCCATACATGATATTTCTCGTACCATATTTGGAGTTGTTTCCATATTTGGCTATGGTTTCCCATACATGATATTTCTCATACATGTACCATATTTGGAGTTGTCTCCATATTTGGTTATAATTTCCCCATACATGATTTTGCTCATTTCATATTTAGAGTTGTCTATATTTGGCTATAATTTCTCCATACTTGATATTGCTCATTCCATATTTAGAATTGTCGCCATATTTGGCTATAGTTTTCCCATACTTGATATTGCCCCTTCCATATTTGGCATTATCTCCATATTTGGTAATGGTATCCCATTCTTGCTACTGTTGTGTGATTTTTCTGATCATTTATAAAGAAATTTAAATATTATTATAGTCATACTCAATTTACGCAACAAAACATAAACAAATTTGTTTTAATAGATAAAGTAACAGGATTTACAAAATTTATATTTTTGTTGTTACTATTGTGAATTCTGCTATTTCTGTAATCACAGGGCAGGGCTTTGATTTATTTACAGTCTATGGGATTTACTGATGGCTGCTGTCTGTTTTGTAATACTCATTGTTTTAAAGGTAATACACACATGTTCATTACTATTTGGGTATTACATGCAATATACACAACATGTTAATGTTCTTGGAGAGTGTGAAAGATTTTCCATCCAATTTTACACTGCAATAAAATATATAAAATGCTGAAGAATACTGCAGAATACTGAAAAATGCCTTTAAATAGATTCCTCCCAAAATGCTATATTTGCAAGTACAATATTGAGCTTTTCAGGTGGGGAGCAGGTGAAAATAATTATATTATTTATATTATGTTTGGGAAAGTTTTCTATGTTCTTTTTACCAAAAATTTCAAGTGCAAATTATTTTTAGTTTTCATCGGCATAGTCAGGTGAGTGTATGTTAACACAAGTCTTACAGGAATCCCTAAATGTCCAGTGCCATGCGCATATACATGTACTGTAAAATGACTAATTTTCACTGCGTTTAAATTTCCCTGATTTACCATTTCAGGCATATTCAGTGGGTTTCAAAATTCACGGTTTTATCATTTAGATAATGTGTTCTATGCTAAATTTTAAATATTCACTGGCTTTTAATTTTAAATAGCGCATTTTCCAGTCAGCGAAATAAGCAAAATTAAAACCCAATGAATAATTAACCCCTTTACACAATGTGTACTATCCTCGTGGAGCGGGCACATGGTGGCAAAGCATAAAGGAAACACACGTACACACAGTTGGCTGAATATCAAATGAACACCAGTTCAAGTTTATTCAATTACTTATATAGGCTCTTAATTTATGCATACAATTCATTCAGGTGGGAATTTAAACTAGATCACTACACTATGTACACAGAACAATAGGAGATTCAACTGGATTTCATATCATGTTTTATTTATCTTGAACTTATGCATATTAATTAGCTGATTATCATAACAATTAATGCATTTGAATATTTCTGTTTCACATCATACTATCAAAAATAGAATTCACTGCAACTGTCAAGTTTGAGCTTTGACCCTTTCACTGCAATTGTTAACTGTTGTAACCCATATGTGTAATTGTCCTGTTCGAAAATTGTCATGTTTTCATAATAATGTGTAAAATTAGTAAAATAAAAATAAAGTGAAAAATAATGTATTTCACAGTACTTAAAATATCTTCCTAAAAACGGCATATTCCTGAAATGTTAAATTCTCTGTGTGGTAAAATATTAACCTTGATCAACTTGGTAGATTCGTATTGGCACCTGAAATTTGTTGCTTTGCTAAATATTTGTCAAAATTTGTGCCAAATAATGCTTTGCATAACATCACTGTATTTACGGTAAATCCTTTAAAGATCATATTATACATAGCCTGAAAATATCTAACGTGGCAATACCAGACCAGCACATTTTTAAAGAATTGTTTGGAAAGCCAATTTGTTAATCTACCACCAGCTGTTAAAACTAGAATGCTTGACAAACAAAACCAAACGCATTTTGTCATTTAACTTTTTTTTTTCAATTCAATTTTCAACATTCAACTCGACAAAAATTAAGCAAAATAAATTCAATACAAAACATCCAAAAAGTGTTTCCAGCGAAAAATAGTTCTCACTAAAATAAAGTATTTTACGTTAATAAAAAATGAATTTTTATTATACACATGTTATACATTCTCTGATTTGCCTGATCATGATTTTTTTAGAAAAAAACAAAAGTATTCCTAAAATTCTTAAATCTGTGACAGTTTCAATTAAAAAACGCATTTTGTGGTTTTTCATTTCATCATAACTGTTGAATATAAATGCAAACATGCATTCAAAAAAATTTTCTATTTTAATTTCTTTCTTTTTTAATTTTCTTTGCAATAATAATTTTGTCTTCATATATGTGATTGTCCACAGATTTTAAAAACCAAAGTGTCAAAATGGGAACATGATTCATGTGAAGATGAAGACTTGTCATTGGCCAAAAAAATATTGTGGAAAGTCCTATGGTTGATAGGAACAGGTACAGTGAATAAATAAATTTATAAAAATAATAAAAACTTTCACTCGCTCTCTCATTATTGATGTCTAATAAAATACTCACTCACTCACTCACTCACACACACATACACTCACAAACTCACACACTCACACATACACTCACACACTCACTCACTCACTCACTCACACATACACTCACAAACTCACTCACTCACTCACTCACTCACTCACTCACTCACTCACTCACTCACTCACTCACTCACTCACTCACTCACTCACTCACTCACTCATTCACACATACACTCACAAACTCACTCACTCACACACTCACACACTCACCTGCACAGTCACACACTCACTCACATGCTCCACTTACACACTCACTCACCTCATTAACTCGCTCACTCTCGCTCATTCACTCTCTTTATACTCACACACCTCACTCTCTTACTCACACACCTCACTCACTCACTCACTCACTCACTCACTCACTCACTCACTCACTCACTCACTCACTCACTCACTCACTCACTCACATTAACTCAATAACCCAATAGAGAAGGCATTTTTCTGTTTTTGCAGTTTCTGCCATTGATCCAGTTCAACTGGTCATTTAATTACATTGTGTATTGATTTATTTCACAGCACGGAATGCAGTGGTCGTGATAACTGCCGCTCTGTTTGCATGGTCTCTACATGCTTCAGGCCATCATCCATTCACATTGGTAGGTGAGATACCAGCAGGCTTGCCGCATTTCGAGCCTCCAGATTTCAACGATCCAAGTCAAAATATTACCTCAAACGAAATTGTCAAAGTGAGTAGAAATAATTTTCAGTAACATTTTATTTATAGATATTAACACTTAATAACAAGCATTTATGACCAAAATTTTGATGTCACAATTTTATACGTTTTTCTCTAATTTTTGACTACACAGTCATAATTTTCTACTGTTATTAATCTGAACATTCCCAAAAAAATATGAACAAAATTAATCAGGTTTATTTTGATTTTGATGTCAAAGGGTAAAAGGTCAAGGGTTAAAGGTGAATCCTTAAAACATCTATATAAACTCCCTGGCTTGAGCAACTCAAGGCGCATTGGAACTAAACATACCCATATTGCAATTTCTACCCAACCAGGAACTTGTACGTATTTACTCTTAGGTGGAAATTTAAAAGTATTCCATAAGGATAGCAATTTTACGGCTTGCAAATTTAAAGTAAATTGTAATTCTATATAGAAATGTGATGCAACTATAATTTAAACAAACTTGATGCAAATGACCTTGAGGAATTATGACAATAAATTATGTTTGATTTGGTGATCATTAATAACAGCGTTTCTGTATAGTTCAGGCAAGTATTTCCAGGATTTGTTGCTATAGCAACTGATTTTATCAGTTTTCTTGGTGATCACAATATTCAGTGGGAGGTGTTTTGCATATGTCTCCTGGGGCATACATCCTGGTATTTTCACTGCCTGGCAAACATCACGGTGAAAACAAAGGCCGAAAATTGTACTATGGAATAATTGTATATGTTAGGTTGCTCAGGCTTTTACTTCAAAGTAGAATTTTTGCTGTTTCCTTGGCTTTAGCTGTTTTCATCGGCTCTTTCATCGGCGTTCCACAACAGCTTGTGCAGTGGCCATAGAAATACATGGTACGCTGGTGTACATCTTAGCAGCATAGAGCGTTTTGTGATGTAGTTCTGCCCCAATACAAAGGGAAATGCAACATTAATAGGTGTAGTTGAATTTCACTATATTAAGTTACTCTTATTCAACCTCACAGGAGTTGAATGTTGGTATTGTAATAGTACCATTAATTGGATTCCTAGAAAGCATAGCCATAGGAAAGGCATTTGGTAAGTATACGTATACAAATACACCCACATGATGCTATGAATGTCCATGCTTTCTACTGTCACTCGAATGGTTTAAATACTGTACATGGTCTATTACCGGTAGTAGTGCATACACTTTGCATAAATAACAGAGTTGCTTATAATAAGGCATATTTTAATCACACACTGTCTCAGTCTACAGTAAAATGTAAATTTTTGGTTCTTGTGCCCTCCTATTGGAGCTGTGCTTAAGACATAAAGCAAATATGGTATATTTTCACCAAAAAGAAGAGAAAATGTCACCAGACACTCTTAAAACAGCTTTAAATATTATTTAATTGAAGGAAAATAGTTTGACACATTGTTGTTTTCACTTGTTGCCGCATACTAATGACACAGTCTGTGCTACTTTTTACAGCACGAGAGAACAAATATAAAATAGATTCAAATCAAGAACTGATTGCACTTGGTAAGTTGCTAGTTGTATTTTATGTATTTTAGTTACTTGCTAGTTATCTCTTATTAGTCCCCGTTCGGACAAAGTCCGAAAACGGGGACTTATAATTCAGTCTCCATCCGTCCGTGTGTCCGTGCGTCCGTCCGGAGTCATATCTCAGAATCTCGGGGACCGATTCCGTTCATTCTTTGCATGTGCCTAGTACTTTATGTGGGACATGTGCACATGCAGTGGTTTAGCGATTCGATTCAAAATGGCCGACTGGCAGCCATCTTGTTTTTTGAAAATGTTGTATTTTGGACATGCTTTGTCAGTTTTCATTCAAACTTGGTACATAGATTATACATGTTAGTATCATGTCCATGATGATTTATTTCACAATTGGATCAAAGATGACCGACTGGCAGCCATCTTGTTTTTTGAAAATGTCGTATTTTGGACATGCTTTGTCAGTTTTCATTCAAACTTGGTACATAGATTATACATATTAGTATACATGTCCATGATGATTTATTTCACAATTGGATCAAAGATGGCCGACTGGCAGCCATCTTGTTTTTTGAAAATGTCGTATTTTGGACATGCTTTGTCAGTTTTCATTCAAATTTAGTACATAGATCATACATGTTAAGATACATGTCCCTGACCGTCCGTGAGTTCCTGAGTCTGTCCGTCTGACCGTCCGTCTGTTCGTGCGTCAGTCTATCCAACGTCATATTTCAGAATCCTGTGGACCGATTCCGTTCATTCTTTGCATGTGCCTAGTACCTTATGTGGGACATATGCACATGCAGTGGCTTAGCGATTCGATTCAAAATGGCCGACTGGCAACCATCTTGTTTTTTGAAAATGTTGTATTTTGGACATGCTTTGTCAGTTGTCATTCAAACTTGGTACATAGATTATACATGTTAGGATACATGTCCATGACGACTTATTTCGCAATTGGATCAAAGATGGTCGACTGGCAGGCATCTTGTTTTTTGAAAATGTCGTATTTTGGACATGCTTTGTCAGTTTTCATTCAAATTTAGTACATAGATCATACATGTTAAGATACATGTCCCTGACCGTCCGTGAGTTCCTGAGTCTGTCCGTCTGACCGTCCGTCTGTTCGTGTGTCAGTCTATCCAACGTCATATTTCAGAATCCTGTGGACCGATTCCGTTCATTCTTTGCATGTGCCTAGTACCTTATGTGGGACATATGCACATGCAGTGGCTTAGCGATTCGATTCAAAATGGCCGACTGGCAACCATCTTGTTTTTTGAAAATGTTGTATTTTGGACATGCTTTGTCAGTTGTCATTCAAACTTGGTACATAGATTATACATGTTAGGATACATGTCCATGACGACTTATTTCGCAATTGGATCAAAGATGGTCGACTGGCAGGCATCTTGTTTTTGTTTTTTTATGCGGTATCTTGAACGTGCTCTGTCAGTTTTCACATTTGGCACATACATGTACTTTATACATGTTAGGATGCATGTCCATGACAATTTGTTTCAAAATCTGGTCAAGGATGGCCGATTGACAACCATCTGACTTTTTGGTCTTACTACTATATTTCCACAATTTATGTACCATTTTCATTCGTATTTGGCACATACATCATACATATCAGTGTGTTTCATAATCAGATCAAAGATGGCTGAATAACGGCTGTTTTTATTTCAGCCATATTACTATAACACAAAACACCTGTTTTGATGTAAATACATGTAAACAATCTGTTGTATACACCACTTGAAACTCAAGTTTCAAAGACACGCTCGCGACAACCCCTCCACTTTAATATGACGAGCACAAAGAGAACTTAACGAGGACTGTGTCATTTTCAATGACTTGTTATTATAGTAAGTTGCTCGTTATGTCTTTTAATTATGGTGCTGATCACATGCAACAGTATAACTGTCTGTAAATATTGATTGAGGCTGTTTTCATCTAAAACCAAACACTGGAGATTGTTGGATCCAATGAAAGATTCAGAAACTATGGCAAGATGTTTCACTATTTCCAAAGTGGCTTCTTCAGGGGTGTAGATCTACAAGGTGGCAATTCACTTTCCACCTTGTTAATCTAAAGCCCTGATGGCAGCCATTTTGGTCATGGTGAAATACCTGCAATTACCCAAACATCTATCCTCAAAGCTGTTATTGGTTAAAGCACCTCATGTATTTATTGTCTATGTATGTTTAAACATTTATTTGTTAAGCGGTTGATCATTAGAGATTTGGGGAACTATACGACTGCACTGTGCATTTTTGAAAAATAAATGTCCACCAGTCAATTTTGAATAAGATTTGTAAAACAAAAAGAAGTGCATCAAGGTCCCATATTAGAACAAAATTCATTGAAGCACAACTGAGATGCAGTTCTGAAACTGCAAAAATATTCAATTCAGATGCATTTTTAGATGTGCATATTAATCCCAAGTTTATATGATATGAATTTTGAGTTATGAGTTTTCAAACACATGGGTAAATCAGAAACGGAAACATAGGTGAATCGAACATTGAATAGAGACAAATAAACTCTAACCTTTACGCCAATCACACCATATGTTTACTATTTTATCGCATGTATCTTGCAAAAACCTTGTGATTGTTCCTTGAACTCAATTGACTATGACATCACTGACTGACAGTCTCCTAGAAGGCCAAAACATGGAATGTTTGCCGACTACGAAATGTATTTTGGTAATAACTGTTTGAAATTATCGTAAATTCAAATGTTTCCGCAATATACCAATCTATGATTGTATACTCCAGGTATTTATCTTAGTGGTTCAGAATATTCGTCCAGCTTAAAGAATGAAAATGTACATTATATTAAAAAAAACAAAACATTTGTATTGATATTCTAATGATGAAATGAACACAACTAACATTTAACATAGAGTTTTCTTATAGATTGCTGAATTATTCCAGTGATGGTTATTTGAAAGTCAAAAAAAAAAACTATTTATTTATGAAATTATGAACCTCAATTGAATGTATTTTTTCCATTTTTCAAATTAAACTGTTAATGCTTGTACAGTATGCCTTAAATTTTCTACATTTTCACTAGTCTGGTGTGCTTGTCATCGGATACCCAATTGCTTCCACTTATTCACTTAGTAAATAGATAATCTGAAGTGTCTGTAATAAAAGTAGATATAGTGTATGGCATCATGACATAACACTATAGGGGGTAATATTTTGTAGTAGTACATGTATCCAATAACAGAGATTTAAAACTGTTTGTTTCCACTCTCTGACCTCCACTGTTATTTCCCAACAGGTGGTGCTAATGTGTTCAGTTCATTTATTTCCTCATATCCTGTTACAGGCAGTTTTTCAAGGTAAGTTTTGTTTGATATATATTTTTGGACAAAAATTATACAATTTTTAGGAGGATATATCATACATGCCAAAAGTTGCTGGTACAAACCTTACATTCCGAAAATATCTAAATAATAATAGCCAGGCTATTTAATGAATAAGAATTTTTTCAATCCATGGCAACATGAATCCACGGAAAGTGTGGTTCCTATACATTCAAATTAGAAGATCAAAAGATTTGTTTGATTGACATTAACTTAACTGTTTATTGACACTGGTGGGTATGGGACATCTATAATCCAAAGGTAGTTTCAAAAAGCCTTAGGAATTTGGTGCTATATGCAAGCTTTGAGATGAGATTTTTTTTGACATGATACATGTATGGAAACCAATAAGTGGTGTATTTACGGTAGTAACAGTTACATTGTTTTGTATTTCAGGACTGCTGTGAACTCACAGAGTGGTGTAAAGACTCCACTGGGTGGTGTATTTACGGGTAGTTTAGTATTACTAGCATTAGGTCTACTTACACCACAGTTTCAGTACATTCCACAGGCTGCCTTGGCCTCTGTCATCATAACAGCAGTAGCACAGATGGTTGATTGCAAAATTGTTTTAAAATTATGGAAAGTTAAAAGTAAGTTTTTCTCAGTTATTATTAATTAATTGTTATTCAAAATAAAAATTGACGCGATGCATAAATTGTATTGGATTATTCATTTGTTTTGTTTTTTAATAGAAAACACTCGTTCATTTAACAATGATGTATTCTGCATAATGTGGTTTGTGTACACTGTATCAGAAAGTAATTGTTTCCATGGAAACTTCAAATTTTTAGTTTCTCTTCAAACATGCTTTTGTTTCATGATCCAATTCAAGGTGGATGGCAGCCATTTTAGTGCTAAAAATTTATCAAACTCATGCATTTCTGCACCTCGATTTGATTCAAAATGGCTGACTGATGGCATATGTTGTTTTTAGAGCTATATTGGTAACAAGGCTGGACTTGTCATGTTCAAACTTTAGATATACCGGTATGTTATGTACCCGGTAACACATTTGTATCTGTTTTAGAATCTGATTCAAGATGGTTGATTGTCATTTTCATGCTAGAGATGCATCATGGGTAGAATAATGGAAGGATTCACACAAATAAAATGGCTGCACTTTGTATCTTGTCTATCACGTCAATAATGTCAACAGTCACTAAACCTGGATATGGACTTGTCATTAACAATAAATTGTCTCTTTTCATTCATTTGATTGAAATGTTTAATGAGCAAAAATTGAGTATTTGTAATAATTTTCAAATTTTTCTCATATTTACTGGCGAGCCAAATTCTTTCCAAAACCTTACATACTTGCATTAGGAGTTGCACGTCTGAAATAGACTAAAAATTCATGACGTCTTACATCTCAAATAAAAATACTTATATTTTTGAATGTTACATTATTTTGATAAATTTGTTCTTTCCAGAACTAGACTTGTTGCCGCTCTTTGCCACATTTATAATTTCGCTGCTACTCGGTATCGAGATAGGAATCATTGTCGGTATTGCATTAGATTTGTTGATAGTACTTTACAAGACAGCCAGACCCAAAATACAGGTTTGTTACAAATCAAATGTATTCATTTTGTGATATCTACTATCTGTTAGTGTTACTGAATATTTCATTACTGGCCAGACCATACCACAGATGTATTGTAGAAAGATTTTATGTTGTAAGGATATTCATTAGTTTGTGTAGGAAACTATAAATACTATACTTATTCTTTTCACCACCAGACTTTCTTGCCCAAATTTTTTCTGCACTTTTTTCGTATATTCTTCAATATTTCTGGAAATGAACCCTAATTTTTGGAGTCAACAGACAAAATCTGAGTTAATTTTCAGTTTTTACTCAAAAAATTTGCTTATTTTTGTCCCGATATTCTGAAGGCAAGTGCAGACTATTTTGTGAATTTGTAATGAAAAGAAGGAACTGATGGTGAAAAGGTTAAATTTTCATTCATTTATTAGTAAAATAAACAAAGATAAAACGCAGGTAATAATTTATACCTGCACAATATATCTTGCCTTGTTTGTTTTTCAGTGTCAATCAATATTTGGACAGACTTATCATGAAAGATTCATCTCTTCCATAACCTTTTTTACCTTTATAAAGCCAAAGTCAACATTATTTGTCACTTTTTCACCTAATAAACCCACAAATTTTTATATTTTGGTCTGGAATTTACTCTCACAACTCGTAGAAAAATAAATAAAAAACAAAAAGTTCACCATAAGTTTAACAAAAAAAATAACATGGGTAATATATGGGTAAAGTAGGTCAACCTATGTACTGGATAGTAAAGTCAAAAAATAAAAGTATTTTGTATGGCAAGATAAATGTAAAACATTATGATTATATTTTTGACAGGTTGTTTCCCGGGAAATACTGGTTATAAAAGTTGGACATGGAATTCACTTTCCAGCTGTGGAACATATTACAACATCGGTGCTTGAATATGGTCTTGGAGACGAGGACGATATAGAACGTGCTTTACCAAAAGCTGTTATTTTAGATTGTTCACATGTAGATACGGTAGATTATACAACAATACAGGTGTGTGTACATTGTTCATATTGTTATTTATTGTTATAGACCGACAGGCTACCATAATGCTATTTTGTTAGAGCGCCCTCTATCAGTAGGATATTAAGGTTAGGTTAGGTTAGGGAGTTCGAAGGTCAGTTATCTTGGAGTTCAGATGTACTGTAAAGGGGTTAATTATTCACTTGGTTTTAATTTTGCTTATTTCGCTGACTGGAAAATGTGCTAAATTAAAACGCAGTGAATATGTAAAATTGAGCATCGAACCAATTATTTAAATGATAAAACCGTGAATTTAAAACCCACTGAATATGCCTGAAATGCTAAGTTAGTGAAATTTGAACCAGGTGAAAAGTAGTCATTTTACGATAAACCTTCATGTTTAAGCATTAAACAAGTTCTACAAAACATAAACCGTAGCGGATTTGAATCGATAACATACAACACACATATATTAATTTCAAACAAACTCCACAAAATGTAAATTAAAATTAATTAGGTATTAGGTGGACTACATATTTTAATTCCTGTGTGACATAAGTTTTTGAATGTTGTGTTTGTTTTCTGATCTAATCGTAAATTTTGACATATTCACTAATAATCTATACGTAATTATCCATGGCTTTATGCTGTAGTATCAGTGACATCATACGAGAGGGCCAAATCCATATAGCAGAAACACTTTCTCCATTTTTAGCCTCAATATGTAGACATTCTATTCATTCTATATTTCCATGTTTATAGGGTATGACTGAATTATTATACGAATACAGAGATGCAGGAGTTAAACTAGTCTTTGCAGCTTTGGAGGTACAATACACATACATACAGACTATTAGAATCTTATTATGAACTGCAGTTTGTATTACAATGTTGCAACTTTATGAATACATTAACCTTTGACCTTGTTTACTTATAGCAATCAATACGCGAAGTGTTTTTGTTGGCTGATATCTCAGGATTTACAACATATGGTAATGTAAATGATGCAGTAAGTGCATTAGTAGGTAAGTTTGAACTCATAATTTTCATTCATAAAGTACAATGTGTCACTGTGGTTCTTGTCAAAAACCAAATTCAAATTAATTGTTTTTGTGGCAGTCATGTCCATCATTTCGTCTTATGGTATTATGAAAATAATTAATGCTAACAATTGTTTTAAAAATACAGAACGTTGTGACAAATATTAACCCCAACAGTCATTGTTTTTTCAATATAGGAACACCTTGTTGATTATTGTGTTATAAAACCCTGCCCAAGGTAGTTGGGATTGTGAGATAAAACATTATTGACTTCAGTAGAGATAAGAAAAATACTTTATTGATATAAATAGTTTGTTAGAATAAAAGATTCTGTTTACTTAGATGGCAGTGCATTGATCATAAGTGAAGATAACTGGCAGAGTGATCCTAGTCACAGTGAGTTCTAAGTCAGTCAGCATGAAATGGTGATCCAGCGGTGGGATCAGTGCTTTAAAGATTACTCCTAGATTGAGTAGTGGTGTTATTTATATAGATCTATCAGTAATAGTTGTTACCAAGCATAATAATATGATTTATTATTATACATCTGATTGTGTATCTCCATAAGTTGAACCCAGGTTTCAGCATCATACCTTATTCGGAAATACAAATTTCAAATATGGAATTATTATGCAATACTTCTAAGATGGTGGATGTGTTTTAATACAATGTGTAAAGCAAAAAAAAGATCTGCTATAGATCTGCACCTCTACCATCCAGTCATGTGGTTCATGCACAAAGCAATTACAAGATGTATAATAGTAACATTTCATGAGGATACCACTTGTTATGCATAACTTTGCTGCATGTTGATGGCGCCACTGCTATGACTTTGTGCATAATTTGTGAAATCCTCCTTGTAAACTCAAAGGATTACCGTGTTCATGATATTATCCAAGGTGATGACAGCATGTGCGTTTTTTAGAAAGCAAATCTCAAGTGTTTGACTGTCCCGGTTATGTCTCCTTCTTAATCTATGTAGAACACTGGGCTGTATTACAAACTACTTACTCTTGTTTTATTCAATATTCAAAATTGAAAAATTTAATCGGAGAGGTGTACACAATGTATTCAAATATACACACAATATAATCAAATCTTAGATTCGTACTCAATACATTCGAATGTGCACACTATTCACAGTTACACACATTATATTTAAATCTGAGAGAAGTACACAATACATTCGAATGTGCATACAATATAATCAAATCTGAGAGAAGTACACAATACATTCGATTGTGCATAACATATAATCAAATCTGGGAGTTGTAAACAATACATTCGAATGTTCACACTATTCACACTATGTATTCAAAAAATCTCAGTGTGTTTTCAAATTTTCAATCAAAGTGTTGGATGAAATATAGTAGTGAAACACTTGAATTACCATTTCTGAATTGTGAAGATTAGAATAATTCAATTGTTGAATCTTAGGCAAAGTTTATTTCATAAATTATTCAAAATGAACTGTTACAAAACATTCATTTGGTGCGGGGGAAAAGGAAAGCTCTATGTAAATGCATGTCATAATATATTCATCACCAGTAAGGCAGTTATGTGAGCACTCAGAAATTAAATTTTACCTACACTGAAACACAAAGTAATGTGGTGTGAAAAATTGTGTTTAATAATTGATATTGATATTTTTAATTCTTGGTGTATGGACAGCCATACACTCTTCGGTAATTTGAAACAGTAAAGCATGATGTTAAGATTGTCTAAACATTTAAAAGCAAAATTATTATTGAGGGGCTCTGGGTGCTCACGAACCTGCATTTGCATGTACGTCGACCATAATTTGGTTAAATCTTGTTATAAAAAGTAGATCTATGTACAAATTAAAACAAATTACCATGGGACAAGTGTGAATAACGTTTGCATTTTGATTAATATTCCAAAATATGATTAATATGATAATTGTTGGAAAATGACGTGCGTAACTATGGGTGTCCTTGGGTTAATATATTATTGCATATGGCATGCCTAGTACATCTGGTACGAAGCTTGTGTATTGGATAAGGTGACAATCAGCATGACTCATCCTGCTAAAAGCTTTAATTATGTGTTTTTAATTCACTTATCTGATGTGTTCCATAATTAGTATGAGTCGAAAGTGAATTAAAAATAGTTTTGTTTGGTTGAAGATTAGCGGATTTAGCAAATGAGTAATTAATGATTTGACTGTATTGACGATCGTCGTGAAATCTTTTATTAATGTTCGATGATATTTTTTTATTTCAACAGATGAGTTTGGTGAACAGCTCCAACACGACCCAAACCGACGACTGTTAGACGTCAATTCTGATTCATCTACCAAACAGAAGTCGTATTCTGGGACGGATAATAAGTGATTTCTAGACTACAGCTTGCTCCTGCTATTGCTTAATAATCACCTCTCACTTGAGCACATTGTTGTGTGCACAGTCGCTAATATCTAATTCAGGTGCACTTGTAATGAGGTGCTTCATCCTGTGGTGGCACTCAGGTTTGTCAATTGACTTTCCGTCCAGTTGAATCATATCAAGTACACCTTCTCAACTGCAATTGTAATTTATCAGCATGTAGTCTGTTATTTGTTTCTGGTTCTTTAGCAACAGGACGTCATTTACTTCCCAAGTTAAAACGCACAGAACTTGTTAAGGTTTGGTAATAAAGTCGTGAGAAGAGAGAAAAGTTGGCATAGCTCATAATATACAAGTCTAAACAATATTATAATTCAGTCTTTGCGGAAAAGAAACTTAGCACAGTACTTCTGCATCAGATATGGCACGTACGTGTTTTATAAGGCAGCTTTTTTGTATCTGTAATGAACACACATTTACGTAATTGGTTTAATGAATTATTGATTGTGTAATTCCCGTTTGACCTTCATGACATTACCTACGCGAAATTTTAATGAAATAACCTTGTTCAAGATCTTCCTAATTTCTTAACCTTATGATGTCAGTATTTGATTACAATATATAAGCGATATTCATATAATTGAAAGAACATTGGCCTGGTATTAAGTATAATGTATGAAACTGGAAATTATTCATCATGATAATACGAATACTGACACAAAACATGCATTATCTGATAGGACATGTGTACATCTTATAAGTTCAATTTCAAACATGATTTTCAGGACCACGAATATATTAGAACTAAAATACTTACAAAAATATAAATGGGCGACAATAAAATGAAATTCATTATTTTGACATGACATACAATCAATCTTGTTTATAGATTGGAAGAAGGCGTAAAATTAAATTGAGAATTTAACAAATTATTCACCAAGCTGATGGTGGCTTGAAATACTCTGATAGGATTCTATATAAGAATATATTGTGTGTTTTACCATAAATCAACGAAATCTACTTAATCTACTCGTGGAAGGTTAGTCTGTCATGAGCTAATTAGACATTCAGCTAAAAAAAATCTTACAGAATTTATATCACTTTTTATTATCGCCAAATTTTACGTGGCATTCCAACGAGTGATCAAATGTGATCATCTAATAGAATGTGCAATTGAATGAAATACGAATATATGTACATTTGTAATATCTATGTAATGCACATTTTTAACAATATAAGAAGATTTTCCTTTATTGAGCGTGCTGAGCATTGTGTACATGCAGAAGAGGTAAATAACGCATGAGCACACATTTAGGAATACGAACAGGTTCAACTGCATGACCAAACCCTTGAAAGTGAAATTCAACGCCGGTATAGTGCTTGTATAATGTATATATTACCTCAGACAACCAAGATTTTACGTTACGTGTGTTTACAGAAAGAGGCTGCAGTTATTTTTAGAATGAAAGAACTACTTACAATGTAGTATACACTCAGTGTGGGTTACAGCAATGAATCAATAAATATATTTCTGAATCTGATGTTACGAATTTTATTTTATCTGGTGTGGTTTCCGATGGGTTATTTCATAGAGACCATTTGAAAATGTGTATTTAGAATTTACAATATTTAAAACTCGTGAAATGTGTAGCATATTAATCGTACTGAGGTCTGTGGTGCGAGGGCGTACGGGTTATTGTGCTCTGAGAAAAGACTTGCAAAAAAGGCATACTTTAATCCCAGGAGGCACATTGAAATTTAACACGATACACGTTATGTTGAATCTGGATACACTGTTCCTGTGCCCTGGGGTGTCTGAATATTGTTTTGATCTGTGGACATTCGTCAATGCTATTTTGTACATATTTCATATATACTAAATGAAAAATGATTACACAACTTAAACAGATGTCGATTTGAATGACATTGCTTGCAAACATTTGTTATTTTGACGTCACACAAACGTGTGCCGCTAGAGGGCGCGATTTACAGGAGCACTGTACTAATACGCGCACGGTAACGTATAGCTTTCACCGCCATTCGTACAAGAAGTGTCCTGAATATACATCCTAAATGTGTTTAGAGGTGATTTCCGACCGAGAAAAACTAGATATTTTTTGCCTTGCATTTTATACCCCTAAACTTGCCTCCCCCATATGTACGTGTACAAATCGTGTCCTCATTAAGTTTTGTCCGTGTGGTATTTAACACTCGTAAAACCAGTACACGTGTGGGTAGTGTCTGAATTCTCATGCATTGTCACCGTCTGAATCACGCGGTTTCTTGGTGCCGACTTATTGCTGACTCCACCAACCCGTTCGGGATCAGCCTGGATAAAGGCGTGTTTTACGTTATACAAATTACCAAGTTTGATTGAATGCGCCTATTGAAAAGGCGCCCAATCAGACGTTGTGCCGTGTAACATTGCGTGGTAAGCTAAAGAACAAAAAGTCGGAAATGGCGACGTGTAGTACGGTTACTTCAAAATTCTTCTACCGGTAGTAACCGTTCCTGTAGAGTGTGTTTAGCCAAACCTAAAAAACCGGCGCTGCATTTTTTTCATCTATTTTTCATGCCAAAGTTGCAGGCTGTTTGTGGCATACTTCGTCCGCAAAGTGACAAATATTTATGTCGACCATGTTTTAACAAAGTAATGAAACTCTGTCAACTCTGAAAGAAAATATCAGAAACTCTACTCGACTTATCATTCAAGAGTTGAACTGTTCAATTGCATGGTTTTAGTGATCGGTGAGGACTCTTATCTGATTGGCTATTTATTCTTGTCACATTTTCCCATCCTCATCGTTAAGGGCGCCTATTAAATATATACTGTTCAACCTGTGTTTAATCAATCGGTTCAATCTGCCAAGGGTAAGTTTGGAGGGGTGACCCGAAACAAACGTTCCTTGGCTGGCGAAGATGATGTTTTGTCTGCTGGTGAAAACCTCGTCACGACGTAATTTTAAATTTAGCATTTAAATGTGTCTGCCGAGTGACACTCAGATTAACAATATTTGCCACAAGTCGCGCTGCGCCACCTAGTGACAAAACTCTAGAATCTGTGAAAAGAGGCTGTGTGTGAAATTATGTCAGAAAGGTTTGTTTGGTTGATTGGCAACTACAGACAGCGACGTTTTGAACTATCTTCCCTTCACGTCACCGTAAAAGGGCTCTCCACTTACTGGAAAAAAGTTTGTGATTGGGAGGGGACAGGAAAGTTATCCCTTCTTTTCCAACAATGTCTTGGTTTAAATGAACCATACGAGCAGTTGCATGATGGTCATGGAGTCTGGGCAGGTGGTCATTAAAGCGCGGTCGTTGTCGCGCAGCGCGTGTTCGAATTACGTGCAATGAAAGATTCTAATATCTTAAGAAAATGCAACTAATTAAATTTGAGCAAAAAATACTGTGACAGACTTATAAAAATGGTATATAAACGTTGTAGTATCGCCACAAATATAGAAATATGTAGGGTTTTGTAAAACTATTTTCATTATATAATTTAGATCATGTTGTTCTAGAACTTGTGGCATATGTCACCTAAATTGACACTATCAATTTGAATCTTTTAAAACATAACCAGAGTAACGAAAACTTACATCAAAACGCTATTCGAACCATAAACCATACGAGTAAAACAAAAATAAAACTGCAAATATTATATGTGTAGATGTACTTTTAATTGGTTTGAAATCTACCACGACTTCAAAGGCTTCAGTGTGTAGAATCATTACACCCATCACTTCGCATGTTTAACAATAACGCGTACATTTAATGATTATACATCATTTTTGGTGCCAAACATGGACAATGTGAAGTGGAAATAACCTATTCAACCGTGGATCCTTAAACAAATGTCGTATATGGAAATATAAAAGTACAAGAACAAATGACTAAGTACAATCGACAAAACAATCCACCATAACAAAACAATTCACAAGTACACTACACGTAATCGTATTCAAATTGTAGAATCGCAAAACTGAAGTGTTCTTCATGGCCAGTATTTTATCATTTTTAAAGGGATGCTATTTTTTCTAACGGATGACAAATTACGTCATACATTACGAACTCCTAATTTGGTGTTAGCACCGTCTAGGTCTGCCGGGAAAATACGGCCATGCTATAATGAACTCCATATTTGGGGATAAGACCACCTAGGACTATAACTAAAACCTGTCCACGCTATAAGCAGGCGGCAGGAACAGTTTAATCGACAAATTGGTGTCACAGCTGACTACTTTGTTCTTGTATTACGACCTGTAATCCGTTAATCGGACACAAGTGCTTAAATGGGTAATGAATGTAAGGGTCAGTTTATGTAAAGAAGTGGTGACGTCATTATGACGTTTTATTGTCGACGTCACCAGCAGTAAACCGGGCAATCACCTTATTGTTTTGCATGTAGGATTTGACGTGCGAAACTTACCAAATACTGAACACATACGCACATCTATTCAATATTGTTTAGTATACAAACACAGAAATGAAATGTTGTACATGATAGAATCGCATGGAGCTGTTTATTTAATTTGTAAAATCGCTTCACATTTTGAATTTCGGTCAGATATGTATTGTATATGTTTTATTTTAATACTGATCAAACGTTCATGATTTTATCACTTCATTTTTTGACTGTCAAATAAATACACAGAATAGACATGTTGGTTCATGTCGTTTCAATAAGTATTTAATTCACAGAAATCCACACAATATCGGGGATATTTATATAAGGTAAATCACCAAAACACTGAAACATTAAATAATTTTTCACAAGCAATGAACCGGAGTATAACTGTTAACAGCATCGGCGAATAATAAAACTTGTTATTAAGCTTGTTGTGTCGTAAAAAATATATATTATCAGATTAAACGAATTTTTCCACAGCAAGAAAAATTCAAGCACAATACAGGAATAAATATTACATTATTCGATACCCGTATGACGCTATCAGTCAATATCGTAGATACATTCAAGACAAAAAATCATATTTCCATTCTAAATCAACAATGCCGTGACTGTGACGTATTGCCTCTGTGTTTTTTTTTTCTAGTCTATTCAAAAGCGCCGTATTGGTTGAGGCGACAGCTTTCGGCAACAGTTCCATAGTTCGGCTGTGACGAACAGCAAGAGCGGATATACACTTAATTGTTCAGCTGTCAATCATAAAATACCGTAAGCTATCCCATCAGCACGGCTCAGACTGGGAAAATAACAGCGAACTATTAGCACACGAGGTAAGTTCATATTAACACCGTTTAGTATAATTTATTCACTTTCTTGGATGTAAATTGATTTTAAAACCACTTTATGATTTTTTTCTATCGACTCAAGAATTAAGCGGTTATGTTTTGAGTCTCTAAACTAATTATTGTATTGGCTAGAATTTCTAGATTTAGCGTCGTTTCCGTCGCATATTATTAAAGTTCGTATTCGATCAAGAATTGGACATACAGTTTTCTAATCAAATCAAATAAATTTGTTCTGATAAATATTGCAATACTTTTTTTGGTTTTTGCTTTTTTTTTGGTTTTGGTTTTCGATAATAATAATTATATAAAGTATATGCATATATAACTACGCTAACCGTCACCTAAAAGAAAAATATGTAAAATGGCGGACTATCATAGAGACCATGGCGACACGGATACGCGACATTCGACTCTCCGTTTCGTTGCTTTATGATTATAGCTGAGGTACCAACATTTGTTACCGAAATGAGAATAATTTATTTTAACCTACTACTAGTATTGCAATTCATGTACAACTGCGAAAACACAATTCTAAACAAAACGAACTTTTGACGGAGATCGACGGACCGATTTGGCCGACTTGAACGCTTCATTTCTATTCGACACTTTCGCAACAGTGGTATTCGTATATCAGTGTTATACTGCGTAAATAGTTCGTAAAAGTTAAATTTTGTTATATTACAACAATTTGTATTTCATGTAACCATTTTAATAAATACTAACAATTTCGGGGTTTCCATTTAAAAAAACAAGCTTTAACCGAATTTCATTTCCTGCTCATAAAATACGACAAAACGCAGATAATCCGACCACTTCTTAATCGTATAAATTAAATTTTTCGCTGTTGGCAAATTCCAAACAGGTACATTAATAAATATGACGATGAAGTACGATGCATAATGTATAAGGGAAAAACAATTCAATACGAACATATAACTGTCATTGTAGAATTCAAAATGAATACAACATGGTGTCTTATATACATAATTGCTTCCAGTTAACTCAGTATTATATGCTTAAATTAATATTTAAACTTTAGTCTGTAATCTGCGGTTCTTTCAAACCACTCCATTTGATCACCTTATAGGCAGTTTTAGTTTAAAATGGCGTACGAGTCGTTACAACACTGATAGATGTAATGAGGTTGTATAAGTGCGGACTTGACTAGCCATTCGTGCCGATGTTGACATAATGCGTCGCCATGACGATAAGTGCCCCCATCTTGACAGATTAACAAGTCGAATAAAAACTATTGCATGCGAATATTATAACAGAGTCACAGTCCTAATATAGGAAGTGAATTTACTTGTATTTACAAAACGAATTAGAATTTATAATACGAATAACGATTCGTGATTTGTTCGATCGGATGCAATTTAAACAACCCCTCCAGCTGTTACCGTCATTTGTGTGTAGGTATAGGCATACATTGTAAAAAGACAGTGTATCAGGTTGCGTTCTCTCCATTCATTAAGTGCTGGCCTTCAGTAAAAACTTTGTTGACTGTTCGCTCTGTCCACTAACCGCGTGGGGATGGGGGGGGGGGTCACCCACGCATGTAAGATGGCATTGATTCATAATCGTATGGGGTACTAGTATTTTTGTGTCTCAATATCCAAAGATTTGATCTGAAACGTGGTTATTATTATTTTTTCTATAAAATGTTTTAATACCCCGTATAAGTATATGTCTACTTATTCAATTTATGTACTTGATTTATAGCAGCCCGAACGTCGAGCAGTAATACCCATTTATTCAATTATTTCTGTTATAGAAAATGCTGTTCTCAAGGGTGGCTTGTTGTCTAATTTTCATTTCAATAATAGCGACAATTCAGGTAACATACATGTGTTTATTATTGTTTTGTTTTTTAAGGTGTTGCTCATCAACACATGCCGGCATTTGAACGTTTCGATCCCCATTTTTTTTCAAATAGAAAGATTTAAAATAATAACGTGGTTCTTAACTGTAAATGTGTGTAACCGTATAACATCATTATTATACAAACTCCAAAACTTGCCTGACATTGCTCTCAGTCTGTATACTACACTAGATTTATTACGTAAATCGAAACAACGTACACACATTGTTATGACGTGGCACACAGCATTTGTACATCTTACGTACGGTGCTATTAACAAATAATGCTATATGAAATACTAGGAACAGTTTCCATATCGAAAACATGATAGTATTTTCAACTGAAATTCGCCTGAATAAATTGAATATAATAGAGTTGTGCATAGTAGAAAATGACCACATTTTAGCTATTGGCAATTATAACACAAAACTTGTATACTACGGGAAACCCTGTAACAAAATATATCGTCTACAGGCCAATAAGAAACACAATAGAAGGGAAAGAAATATATACAGTCGGAAGAATCAGAGTGTTGATAAGAGGTCACTTTCAGGTGAGAACTTTTATGTTTCATTTGCCGCTTGTCCATTTCTCGAGTCGGTGTTTCCATCGGTAGGTGTATTTATTGTTGGTATTTTTATTTTGACGTTTGCTTATGTTTCCAGGAACACAATGTTTGCAGTGCAAGAAAGAAGACAATCTGTCGTTTGAACAATGTTTAGATGACGGCGTATATGAACAGTGTACCACTGACAAGGTAACGTTTCTTGAATCCTCGGCACAAGACGTTCCACGATGCTAAGACGCGCACCTCTGTACCATGCATTTCTATGGGCTCTGTGCGCGCTGCCGTGGAACGCCGGTCGAGGAGCCGGTGAAAATAGCTAAGGGGAGTCTCAACAACCATCCCAAAGTACCGTTTTCTGTGAGTTTTCGGCCTTTGTTTTCACCGTGATGGTTGCCAGGTGGTGAAAATGCTCGAATGTTCGCCTCCGAGAATGCATTTAAATTTCACAATACATCCTAAATATTAATACATGTCTTCAATGAATCTTACACTCCATTGTTACACAACGCCACTATTACAGACCTCATAGGCGACGGTGTTCACGTTAGGTCTGTTATCCCTAGTCGAAAATTGAAAACGCACGCTCAGCCACGGTGTGAAATCAAAGATGGCCGCCACCAAATCACCGACTCGGATTACGTACAGTATACATATTACTAGTGATGTTCAATACGTTGACATTTTATTTACCTCAACTCATCTTCGAAATTCAAAATAGTTTAATCTAACCTGGATTCTAACCTTCTAACCGTTCAAAATTCATCAGGAATCTGAAATATAATACTGTGACTTGAAAAGTTATTTGTTAAACTTTATTTATGTGTGCTGTCAGAGGTACACATCGTCCGCCTGCACGGTGTTCCGTTCGGACATTCCTCCCTCTACTACACCGTGCGGTAATACCATTCATAATCGTGTATGTCACGTGGTTGCGCGATAGAAAGTTTACCGACCAATAGAAAGCTTTGTTACAAAGACTGCCAGAAAGCGCTCGGAGCTCTGCATTTCTGATATTTTCGGCTTCATTACTGCCGATATATCTTGCAGTGATATCATGAACTTTGGGGTATAACACCTACTCTTCTATAATAGTCAACAGTGGTGACAACACTATTACCACTATTATTAAGTAAA